TCAATACACGACAGGCAAATGGGATTTTTTTTTCTTCTTCTTCCTGCTTTGACATACAAACGGCCCCAAGGGCTTTACGTAACACGCTGGACCCACCTGAAAGTTCTGCGTTATTGTTTGCCTCACTTATGTCACCTCCTGTTAGTGGAACGGATGAGCTCATTGCTGACACTGAGCTATGGCTAGTTGATGCTAAAATGCAGCCGACACTATAACAGAGACGTTAACACCAGTGGTTGACTTTTACAAATAGAACTGAGAGATACTTGTCTCCAGAATGTGATGACAATTTGCAACACATAGAAAGGAAATTGGAATTTTTAAGCAGACATTATACGCTTTTAGAAAGTATACAGTCACTCATGGTCCTCTGTGGTGCCACCAAAAGACAAAACTTGGATGCTCACTTTGTAGTTTCACAAAGTCCCTGTGGACATTTTACTTTGAAATAACCTTTATCTAACTGCAGAACCAGTGACAAAGCAGAAATTGTTCCCATTGCAGGGCTTTGGTGCTCACAAAGTCCTATTCACTGTCGAATAACCCAGACTGCTGCCTCTTTTGGGGTCGTTTGTTACACACATGTCTGTATTGTGAAAAGCACATGATTTTTTTGTAAGTCAAACTGTTGCTTTAAAGAGACAACATCTAAACCATGTTTTGCCCATTCCCGGTTAAAGATGCATTCATGGAGAGAGCAACAAGCATCAAACTTTACTTTATTCAAGCATCAAATGGGGATGATAGGAGCAGGTGAGACTGTTTTACGATAGGGCGTGGGATAACAATTGGGTTTAAAACAGGTGCTCTGCATTTACCAAGCAACTGTCCCAACTGAGGGAGGAGTGAGGGAGGGGTGAGGGGAGGGGAGGGGGCGCTCTATTCAGTCAAAAATAGAACATGAGCCACATAATTAAAGTGATGAAAATGCTGCTGCTGGCCCAGTCTGAAAGACCCTGTGGGATGGTAATTATTATATTCATCGTTACATGATGAGAATGCTTATAACCATCAACAAAACAGAAGCTGAACTGCATCAACAACACAACGTCACAAAAATCAACCAGCATGTGGAAGAATTGAATGTAACGATGCGGACGACAAACATGCAGGGAAACAAACTTTTTAGCCTCCTAGTGAGATTATGGGTTTAGGGGGAGCATTTCTTACACTTAATATGGTTTTATTGGTGGAGGTGAGAGAGCCACAACAAAATCAGCACAAACCACAAAAGAAAACGAAAACAAACACACACTGGTGTGTTCCAGAAACACAAGCCGCAGAACTTCAGTTTCAATGAAGCTTAGCAAACAATCACCTTTGTGTTGCAGGCCAGAGGTGAACTGCAGAGCTCTCAAAAGGGTTTGAACCTACTTACACCAATCTTAACTGATGCTAGATTTCTGCATGTTTTTATGGCCAGAGTGAAATGATAATACTCATACATCAAATCACTCATCTGTTTTGGATTTGAAGCTTTGTCCAATAACCGGCCTCCCTGCACGGGCCACATGACTTTGCTCATAAAGTATGGCTTGTCGGTTAATTGGTAATCAGTAACATAGCCTAACTAATAAAAAGCTGCTACAAAGCACTAATTTTAGTCCTAATTCAAATGAACCATAAGCGAGAAAATGAACCGAGGCCAATACCAATCTTCTTCTTTAGAAACTCAGAGAGGAGCTCTGTTCATTTAATAACCCCCAAATTAAAGGAAAATGTATGATTCAATCATCTGGCCACAGAGTTAGATCATGCTCTATGACATCATTCTGGACTGCTTAACGCTGTTGACCTAATCCGGCTATAGAGGAAGTGTAATCAGTACGTCAAACATCCGGGGAATATCTCTGCTTGATGCACTGACCTTAGCTGGTAAATGCACTTTTTTGTAGTGGTGTTTGATATTATGAAAGACTTTATTTCTTTACTGCTATACCTTACTTTGTGCTTATGAAACTGAAATCTATGGAAACTATGAAAGAACCTCAAGATATGTCCTTTATATTGTAAAACATGATACAGACATTTTCAGTCAAGTTCCATACAAAAATTAAACATAATAGAGAAGCAGGTGAAAATAACGCTGCAAATATCTTTACTGAACTATAACAGTACTTTTTGATGTCGACATTGGTGAACGTTTCTTTCCCTTCCCTTCCATTTATTGGTTTATTTTGCGTGGAGTTGCTTTTACTGTTCATAATAACAGCACACTTAGGATTTTCATGAGCCATGCTGCAGAAAAAGGTTAACCAAATGAGCCATTTCTAAGTAGAGGCTGTGTTTTCCTCTGCCACAACGCATTGCAAAGCTCTTCCATCATTGGGTTTAGCCCAAGAACACAACAGTTGGTTCTCGCAGTTGTTGTTGACTCGCAGAGCTATGCTGCAGTTGGGCAACTCCTGTTCTCTCTGTCAAGGCGTAACAACAGACAGACACCACATGTGCTGGCTATAAAGTTTGTAAAACACACCACGAAGCAAATGTGTCAAAGTGTGGCACAGCGGGGTCAGATGGGTGACGCAATTTGTGCAAATGCTGACAGGTGGGATGGCAGGCCGGATTGTTTAGGCCGCACAGGCTGGGCGCCACTGAAAAGGATTACTTTCTCTGGGCAAGGCTGGAGTGTGTTGAGAAACTCACGTTTTTCACTTTTTACTTCTTTCAAATATCACCTCTGTTAAGAGATGCGAGGCAAGAGAGGAACCTTCAAATGTTTATGAGATTAACAGCTACTGGAACAACTAAATAATGGTAGTTGTATGTGTCATTTTCAGTAATAAACAAGCTCTACTCCTTTTCTCTTTGTTGGTGAATAGGCAGAATATTTCCAATATTTTAAATTGGGGCCAGTCACAAAGTCCAATAGGAGAAGGTGCCTCAGTATAATATTAGTGTATTATATCCCATATCATTATACAACATGAGGTTTGCATATACTAGCTCAAAAACAAAACAATTACCACAAATAGCATCCGGTGTCCAAGACATGTGATCATTTAAATATACTTTCTTCAGGCCATTTCCAGAAATTCCTGGGTCCACTTCCAGACAATAACGTCATCTAACCCCAACTGCGTAATGGTACGAGAAAGGACCGCTATTAGACAGCTCAATAATCTACAAAGTTTCACTGTTTGAGTGATGATAAATTTAGAATCTACCACCTATGGTGCACCGTAATCTGTTTTTTGGTGCGTGTTCATCTGTGGTCTGTAATCACCTATTGGAGCTCCAAGGGGTAGCCCTGGGCAGCTGTCATTTGGGTGCCCCAGGCACAATCTCACCATTGTGCATGACTTGCAGCTGGCATGGTGCTGGAATGCCGCCACACAATTAATCAATCAAAGCCCCTCCTAAGCAGTCCAGACCTGGGCAGTGATACGGACAGATCCATGGCAGCTGTAACGTGGCTCCTCAGTGCCATAATCCATTTACAAGGCTCTACTTTCACTTCAGCCCGAGCATTTGGAACCAAGCTGACCACACTAAACCCACTCCTTTGTAATGCAATGCTTTTAAAAGCAGGTTGCATGATGTGTCATATTTACAGTCCAAACGTGTGAAACGGGCTGATTGAAGGGGCTCCAGTAAAATTCAATATATCGGACAGGCTTCACATGCTGCAAAATAGCAAGTTCCTCCACATTCAACCTTTGGCTCCGTCATATGGACCACAGTACAGTAGGATTAGGTCAGATGAAGGCTTTTTGGTTTTTCAAGCCAGGCAAGCTGCCAAAGCGCACATTCTTTTTTTTATTGACAGCATTGAGCTGGAAGTGGTTACAAGATGGAGGACTTTTCTGTATATAAAATATAAATCTCATACGCAAAAACGTCCCACTTTGACCACAATCTTACACTGGAATAACTTGAGGCTGTTGGGCTTATGTAGTGGTTAGATACACTGGCTTTGCGCCAGATAAAATGGGCTCCAGCCTGTGTCAGTATGCTCACCATGCTGAGCATACCATCTGAAAGCACTGAGATCTCCAGGGATGCTGCCTGGTAACTGACCATGCAAGTCCTCATGAGTGGCAGACGTGCAAGCAGGCAACACAGATTATTAAATGCATTGCTCAAGTGCACTCCAACCAGACCAACTGTTATTTGACCAATAACACTAAAGTAGGGATTATAATCTTAAAAGTATGTTGGTCGTGTTTGATTCTGACAGGCCGCTGACCTCGAGAGCAATATAAGACGTGTGTGACAGTGCCATCTACTGCCGCAATTATGCTATTGTGTGTGACAGAAATAGTCACCTGGGTTACTGCAGCCATAAACATTGTTGATTGAGGTTTCATCAACCCAATCATCTTTCTTTACTGGTTTGTTATCAACCTTATTAACGTGTGACAACAGATTAGGGCCATAATGTGGATGTGAGTTATAAGTGGAATAATGAAATATATATATATGTATATATATTATTTCTCCTTCTCCTTGTTTCATTTGAATGAATTGTAGCGGCACAGGGAGGTGAAAGTACCCAGAATTTCACACTGAAAAAAAAGAAAAAAATAGTGATATTTATGTTGGGGGCTATAGTCCTGACCCCCAGGTCGGGACCACTGTATTAAACTCCATATTTATATCTTAGCCCCAAAAACTCCCAGGCTCACTTTTTGTCAGTTGATTTTTGGTAAGGCCTTTTTCTCAGCAGAGAAATACCTGTATAGGAATAGCAGGAAAGTACAGGTGTAACTAAGTGACTCCATCCTATTCAAGAGTCCCAGAAAGCCATGACAGTGAGCCAGGATGTACCAGGACCCTGAAATCGAAGCAGCTGTGTGGGCCCTGCTTTAAGAACTAATAAATAAATCTTTCTTAAAGTTGTATAACATGAATACTGACCTAGTATTAAGAGTAAACGGTAGTTTTGGTTAACCCCCCCACGAAGTTCACATACAATGGTCTGACAGAGTGAATAAGGATGTTGTGGAGACTGAAAACAGCCGACAGGGGGCGCTAGCGGACGCTTCTCGCTCGCAAATACGTCACGAGGGAGTCGGTAGTGGCTCCCGGTGGATAGCACTGCTTTTTACTACACACCAGTTAACCACAACCGACTCGACCTGAAGGTATCTAACTCACTTTCCAATGTTGATAATACTGTCTGTTAGCTAACCAGTTCGTAACTTTGTCAAGGTTGGAAACAAACGCCGGTGCGGTAACTCTCGCAGGCCGTTTTTATTCAGTTCACGTTAGCTAACTAGCTAACAGCTACATCAGGTAGCTACTACATGTTAGCATTAGCCCAGCTAGCAGCTGCTTTTCCTCCTGCACAGTACGCGCTAGTCATCAAAGAGCTGGATACAGGAACGCTACTAGCGTTACATGGTTGTTGTTAAAGTTGATGTTGTGAGACAAGCGACCCAGGCTGCCGCTCCTGTCTCAAAGCTAACGTCAGCTAGCAAGTGTACGAGGCGTTGACTGGACTGTGGTAACCGTGTTAAAGCTCAATGTCACCGGGTCTAGATTAGCTTCATTCAAACAACCATCTGTGCGTCCACAATGTACATGACCAACCCAGCCCTGTGCAGCAGTACACACTGATGTTGCTGTGAGTTAACGGAGTCTTACTGACTACTAAGCTACTGTGGTCAAGTTGACAGTGCCATGGCTAGTCGTGATATCAACAGTATCCTGTTCAGGTGGTTCCCTCCCAAACATGCACGTCTTCTCAAAATCTAACTTTACGTGACAAAGAACTGCTGTTTAATGTAGGCAGGAAAAAACAGCTGGGAACCGGGTTACTGCATTAAAGGTGCGGCAGTGTTGCCTTCACGTTGTAACTGTATGTGTTTTGAGAAGTCTCTTGAATCCATGGGGGGTCTTGAGTTTACATGGCAGCTTTCACAGCATGCTCTCAAAGAATTACGACAAAACCAATACTCCACTAAAACCTGCCTGTTGACAAGATCTCGCCTGCGTTGCTGCACATGTTATGTTGAACGGTCTTCTGGGGGTTTATTTATATGAGCAAGTAAAGGTTGGAGGTCAGCGAGTAAGTGAGTCATTGAGACGGAATAAGACTGGGGGGGGGGGGGGGGGGGGGGGGGGGGGGAGGGGAGGGGGGGGGGG